TTTATGAGTTTTGCTGAACTAAGAAAAATCTTTCGAAAATGAAAGATTGGAGATTGGAAATTTAAGGGGGGACCCTGGAGCCAGATTTAGTCAAACGCCTGAGCAATATCCAAAAGCATACTATCTGCATACAGTTTTATTCTAAAGCTCCAGCAATGCGGCCTGTAGCTCTGTGCAATTGATTTGTTCAATGGAATATGCGTAAACCGAACTGATGGTCAAGTTTTTTATGTTGGTCACTCTGTTATAAACAAGTATTTTAAATATTAAATTTCAAATAATTGGAGTGTATTTAAAAAAAATATATTTACTGAGGTATAATACATTTTACCACTCTTGATGGCACAGAGTATTAGATCTGTAAGGTACATTAATACCATATTTAAAATACAATACAATAAAATGAAAAAAAAATAAATTTTTTAAATCTTTTTATTGAGAAATAATACATTTTGCCACATTTAAGGGCACTGAATACTAAAGCTGAGTGAGGCTCATTCATACTATATCTACAATGCAATAACAAAAAAAAAATAAAATAAATAAAAAATATATATCTATATAACAAAGGTAAAAACTATAAAACTAAAGAAATGTAACTTGAATTCAAATTAAAAAATAATAATAATAATAAAAATAAATAAATAAAAAAATACAGAAATTGGTAGCAAATTAAATAAGTCATAAGTAAAACAAATAGATATATAAAAAAGAAAAACATTCATACTTAATATATAACAAAGAAAAACATTCATACTTAATATATAAAAAAGAAAAACATTCATACTTTATTTACAATCAGCCAAGGGAGCTCCGAGTCCAGCCCTTTCCTCCACGTGTGAAGGACAAAGCGAGACTCTAAGAGATCCCAGCGCTTCTCTCTCAGCTGCGTCACCGGCAGGAGTCCAGTGGAAACTGAGAGAGGGCACTAAAGCAACAGACGCTCATGACGTGAGTGGAGAGGCTGGCCATTGCCAGAACTCCAGTGACAGTCTTTACAAAAGGTCTCGAGGCCACAAAATAAAAAAAAAAAAAAAAAATTAAATACTTAAAATGGAGTGTATTGGAAGAGGGCTAAAGGTATATATATGTATTTGCCTAATTTTTAAGTCATTATAATGAACGAGTATTTCTATTGTAATGAAAATGTTTATATCATTAGTATACTATTGTCAGGAATAATAGAGCTTTCCTGGTATCTGTTGAAGTTCATCGGCTGTAATTAAGTCATTACCAGGAATGTTTTTTTAGTCAAATATTTTATTTTTATCGCAGCCTGAAATGGAGACGATAAGCTAAGACGATGAGCTAAGAAGACGATAAATGAAATTAAATGAAAATATGAAACGAAGTGAAAATATTTTTTTATTATCCTGAGACTGTTGTCCCTTTAGAACAAATTATAGTTACAGTATAACTTAAAAACTTATTGATATATATAAAACAAACATGAGAAAATAAAATAACATGAGAGAAGAAAACCATTTCTGGGGGAACTTAAAAAGTTCTCTTATCTACATTTCGTGATCAATTGGGTTGGGAAAGGAATATGTGGTTAAAAAGGAGAGATTTAAATGATGAAGCTGATTGTGCATGTCGGACATCCAGAGGGATGGTATTCCAGAAGGAGGCGGCTTGAATTATAAAGGATTTGTCAAACGCAGCAGTTCGATGAGAAGTTGGATAGAGGTCGGAAGTAAGGGATCTATCTAGTGGCACGGGATTGAATGGAATATTTAAATTGTAGGCTGTCAAAGATATAGGAAGGTCGCTGAGATCTGATTATATTTGTTTGGTATATAAAGGTAGCAAGTAAATACAGACGGCGGTTGGGCGGATAAAGCCATTTCAACTTGGTGTAATACTGGTATTATTGACTGAAAATATATTTCTAACATGTTAAGTAATTCGGTTTCATTTTCAATGTTTAAGGAAGCAGTAAATGGTTCAAATACAGAAGAAACATGATTATTGAAGAGGTCAGAAGGATAATTGACACCTCTCGATGTATTAGCAGGTTTTTATAATGCTTGCATAAGGTTCCGTAGCCAGTCAAAAACGCCATTTATATATATTATTTAGTCGGTTAAATTCCTGTCTGTCTCACTGGCGTTCTTTAAGCCTGACATATCATTCACGCTCTTCTCGTTGCTCTGATCAAGTCCCTTATTTATTGCAGATATTGATATAATTATACAGTTCTTGGGGGATTAAATTTAGATATTAGTGAAGGCCATACAGCTTCTTTAATAGTTTTAGAGGAAATATCCAACATATCTTCTGAGTCCATGAATTCACTATAAGCATCGAAGCCAATTAGACCAATCGTAAGTTAATAACCAACTTATCAAGTAAAAGTAAAATAAGATTTACTCCGGAATGAATAAAGCAAATATCAAAAATGGTACTTGTGGTATGGGTTAGTAGTTTTGTGTATTAAAAAAATCCAGAAGGATCTGTTTTATAATTATATTTGAAAAAACACTCCGACTGTAATGAGTTTATTGAACATTAACAAGTTTAAAAAAGAATATTGCTTATGTTATAACATAAGGTATATTCGAGGGTAATCTAAAACTACTATTTATGCAAAATATTTTTATTGACATCATACAAAAACATCCAACTATGCAATTAAAAGGACGATTGATTAATAAACAGATCAATATCCAGAGGCAGAGACAATACAATAGTTTCCAAATGTTATAAATACTTTTGAAAAATATATTTAATCCAATCTTGGAGTATAAATGCTTAATATTTACATTATTTACAATATTCAGATATTAATTATTCGTTAATTACTAAACTTTGGTATGTGAAACAATTGTTAATCTCTCATCTATAATAGAAAAATATTTCTTCTTTCATGAAAATAATTTTAGTTATAAACTTTTTTTTTTTAAGAATGTCATATAACAACAATATGAGTAATCCAAATAATTGAAAAAGGAAAAAAAATTTCAATATGTCTTAATCAATGATATCTCATCAAAAACATCTTTTGATATGTAAAAAATCAAAATGTAAACAATATATATTTTTATATGTAATAAAAACAAATGTCTACAATAGGCTTACCAAAAAATATTTTTGAAGCAACAACATACCAATAAACAACTATTCTTATAAAAATTTAACATTTTTGTTTTTCAAGAGGTGATTATATCAACCTCTTATAATATTTTAAAGCCCTGAATTATTAATTTTACAAATTATAACATCTTTTTTTAATTGAAGAGCATACAAATAAAATAAAAGATGGTCTTAAACCATTTGGAAAGAAGAGACAACTGATACATTATAATTATTTTTACTTCAATAAATATCTTAAATATAATTTTGTAAAATTAAATTTAACTATTTTAAGATAATAAATAGATGTGCCCTATGTAATTTAAACACAATAACATAAATACACAAATAATGTATTTATCTTAATAAAGACTGAATATTACGAAGTAACAATTTCTTCCGAAAATCATAAAATCGTATCTAAAAAATACAATAGAGGTAGGGCAGTGAACATAATAGTGTGACTGTCTTGAAGATAAAATAATAGAAAGAAATTGCAGATTAGTGATAAAGGAAATTTTTATGTCAACTTACAAATTGACAGCATATGATCGGTTTTGATAGAGCATGTGACATCAAAATTTAAGTTTAATTGTTATATTGTATATAACAATGTATATATATTTATTTATACAAACTCATACACAGCTTTTTGTATAGCTATTGGAATATTCTTCTGTGTATTTTCAAAAGCCTCATAATCTCGATTAGTCAAGGTTTATTCAAGGGATTATTATAACAAAATAAGGAAAGAGAGGAGATTCGAATTCTAGTGCTAAAACATCATATATGTCTTACACAGCATTTTCAATAAATGGTTTCAAATAAACGCTTAAAATTCATGTACATTACTGTTGTGGAAAAAAATATGTATATTTTTTCATTCTCTTTAAAAAAAAAAGAAAGTAAAATTGTCCTTTTAAAGTATTCTAAACTGACGATATTTTCTCAAATCTGATTTTCTGTATTACAAGAACATTTTTTCAGAAACTTAAAGCTAAATAAATGAAATTTATTCCAGAACCAAATAAATAGTAATTGTAACCTTGAAATAGATACAATGTATTATAGTGGATTTTTTATAAAATAAATTATTACTAAATCTTAATCAAAGAGCTAAATTAACGATATTAAAATTAATAAATTATGGTCCCCATTATTAACTAGGTTAAGGATCAATACAAGAATTATGTCTAACATGTAACTACTTAAACATACAAAACATTTAAAAAAGTTAATTGGAAAAATGTTGTAACTAGTAAGAATAAATAACGAATAAGTATTAATAAATAAGAAATCACATCTTAACTAATGAGTATAAAAGTAAAAAATTATAACTACCAAGGATATTATTTAATTATTATTACAGTTTAAGTGCTTATGTACAACTTATAGTAAATTCCGATTTAGAAAGTATATAAGAACTCTTTATACACTGAGATTTCTGTGTTTTACGTAGCATTAAAAGAAGATTTTACATTTATATAAAACTTTAGAAATCTCGAAAATACAAATTTTCAAGGGCTAGATTGAAAACTTATAACATTTTCTATTTTTTTTTTTTTTTGAATATCAAATAATCTTGCTTTAAAAAAAATACATGAAATTTCAAGAGTACAGTTTTTAACAGCAATCAGTAGTAAGTATTAAACAAGAAACATTTTTAGTAGAAGTGACAGTACACTATTTAAAGAATTTTATACTAATATCTTAACTTAATATAATATTGGATTTTGTAATATCTTTGGCAAAGCATTTATAGTAAAAATCAAAATTATTATTCACATCTTACACATGACAAATTGTCAATTTGTGGCATCATGATACTCTATGAAAAAACAAAACGGATCAAATGTGCTTTCATGCTATAATTTTAATAAATAATGTTATGAAGAAAATAACATTAGTTACATTTGGACTGATTGCTTCATAACTTTGACCTTTAGTTTTCAGAAACAATCAAGTAATAAATCAAGGTTAAATTTCTCAATAAATAGTCTAAAGTTTCATATATTAGTCTTTTAAGTTTTTAATGGCACTGTTCACTTTTTTACTGGACTGTATTACAAACTACAGCACTACCCAGTTCTGACAGCAGTTTTGATCGGACTCGACCGTAACCTGAGCCAGAACTTGGGCCGAACCTCAGGAGGTCTCTGCTAGAACTTCTAGTTCAGGATCCTTTGTAATCTCGTCGATGGTAGCAATAGACACCTTCTTCTCAGCGTTGAAACCATTGCAGATGTCCTTGGCCTTGGCAGCTTTCCTTTTCTGCTCGTTTGTGTAGTAGTAGGCGGTGTGATTTTTGTTGTACAACAGACCGGCGACGACCGCGGCCATCGTGATCACAAGCAATGCCACTGCGGACCCAGCTGCAATCAAACCGAGCTGTGTCTTGTGAGTCAAGGCAAGACCTGCAAAGCCTTCTTCCTTGTAGTCCAGCCCACTTCCGCAGAGGCTAAGTTGTTCGGCATTGAGGCTTGCGATGGAGCGCCCTCGAAGCTGGTGAGGAACGGAACAAACTGCCGAAGACTTCCAGCTGGCGTTGGATTTCAACATTGGTAAAATATGGCAGAGGTCACAGGCCCAAGGATTGTCGTTTAAGTGTACGTTAGGAATGAATTCCATCTTCGCTACAGATCCTTCGTCCAAAGAATGTAGCTTGTTCCTCGACAAGTCCAGAGTCACCAAACCTGGAACTGGTATAAGGAGTTGGAACGGGAATCTGTTAAGACCATTCCCTGAGAGATTCATGTGTTTCAGCGTCTCCACATGAGCCAAGAGGCCCAACGGGAGTCCATGTTTTACGTCAAGGTCAGCCATAGCGAGTTCTTTGAGCCTTGTCGTCACCTGGAGAACATAAAGAAAATCATCCACCTTTATATTGTTCCCTGAAACCAACAGAGATCTAAGATTAGGAGCTAAAGGCTGAAATGTTATTGGTTCCAACCGGTCCAGCTTGTTATAGCTAAGGTCGAGTTCCAGTAGTGAGGTTAAGTTGTCGAAGGCATGGTTCGTGACCTTGGCGATCTGGCTCCGCGCAAGGTTGAGGTACTGAAGCCTGCCCTGTGAAGCGAAGGTTCCCTCCAAGACGACCGGGAAGTGGTTGCCGTCCAGCCTCAGCGACATCAGCTTCTTCAGGTCCCTGAACTCTTCCCGGTCCAGGTACTTAAATTGGTTCTCACCCAGATCAAGGTGAGCAAGGTTGGACAGGAGGCTGTAAATATGCGGGTTCATGTTTCGCAGGTTGCAACGTCGACAGGAAAAGGTACGTAATTCCTGAAAAAAATAAATATATATATTTTATTATATATAAAAATAATATCAATTACTATATACTTATAAATACTATAAGTTTGTATTATACATTATTTATTCAGGAAATTTCGCTTATCACTTATAGATTACGTATAATTTCCCTATTTTCAATAATAATTTATAATGTTCCACTTATAATTGATACATTTATATCAGCACTCTATAAATTTTTATTAAAATCCTGAATAAAGAATGAAATAGTTTCACATGAATTCTATTAGTCATGAAAACAATAAGAATGAAAACCTTTATTATTTAAAAAATAGAAAATCGAAGATGTTTTCTGTTGCTTTGTATTAGCTACATGAATGCGATTTTTATTTGAGAATTAGATCTTAAATTTTATGTTTAGGTAGTTACCAAAAACCAGGTACTTTTCATGAAACCGTAAAATCATGAATTCACTTTCCTCGTTTAACGATGTTTAACTAAACACCAACATTTGTTATTTTAGTGCTGAAAATATTTCAATTTTCGTATTGAAAAACAGTTTCAAAATTTAATTTAAATATAAAACATTCTCTTCACTCATTTCCGGGCTACCTATGGACGAAATTGAATTAGTGCTAAAACCCAAAACTAAATTAGGACCGTGATTTTTTTTTTTAATTCCTTATTTATTAAGGCAATAAATCACTGATATTGATTGAGACGTTTTTAAAAAAAAAGACTCAATTCGATATATCGGTTTTCCATACCGACAGGAAACGAATTTAGTTGTTTAAATTGGGCAAATATTGCATCCCGACGGTTTACAACTTTAGTTCCTCCCAAAGAGTACCCGATGAGGAAAATTGTATTCATCATTTATCTCAAACAATTTTAATGTTTATTTTTACTGTTTACATACTAAATATGAAAAGGATGTGATTGCCTGAACATAATGGATTCGATTTCCTCCTCAGCTAGCTAATATTCATTGATTGCCGGACTCGGAGAATAAATCTTTACTCTGCCACTATAGCAAGTACGCGGCAACCTCCAGCTATCAGGGGATTCCGACTTAGATACTCCATTGGTAGCAGTACCAGGACTAAATATAATTAAAGTACATATTATTAGGTTTTTTTTATACTTAAAAAAATTAAAAACATTATTTTATTTACTGCACTGAAAGAGCCCAATTAATCGATTAAATGTAATTTTAAGTCGAAAAAAAAAAAAAATAGGAAAATAAGAATTGGTCGAATGAAAATAGGTTTATGATTAGTAGTAGCGGTCTACTAGTGCGAAGTTTTCATTTCTCTTTTTAAGGGTTTCTTTTTTTGAGAGAGATTTTTTAAAAGAAGGTTATATATACATAATATTCTGAAAATTACTCCTCCGATAAAAAACTAACGAACCTTAGTACCAAATTGATCAAAATATTATAACTGCATTAATACGAAAACTTAATAAACATATTACAATATTTTCAAAAAATAATCATTCTATGATGTATTGGTTGATCTTCATGTCGAAAAAATCCGAAATTTTTTAAAAATCAATACGAACGGATACAATTTTAAAATTTATATTATTATTAAACGCTAAGTCCCCAAAAACATTATCAAAATTGATATCGAAGAAATCCTAAATGTTTAAATAATTTGAATACCGTAGTGAGTGGGCACTTTACCATAGCTGTCTAAAATATTCAAAGTAAAATGATCCCGAAAAATCGAGCAAGGCATTTGGAGTATTTGGGTAAACTAGTTACTCAAAGTATATTTTGCTCTTCTATGATCCCAATAACTATTACAAACTCTTCACATGATAATAAACGAAATTCTAATATTCTTGTGAACAACAACGAATTCATTTTCGAAGTTGAATAAAGCCGTAAACAAGAAGAGATAAAAATCATAATGTACCCTTTTCTTAACGGGGCAAAAAAGGTATAGGACAAATGAAATACAGCCGAATAAAAAGGATTTTAAAGAGGTCCATGTATTTCTTCTATCCCCTTAATACATACATATACTTATTTTATTCAAAGTACGGTTGGGCAAGCCATTCATAAAATAAGGTCCAGATATTAACTAACATTTAAAAAAATACAAGGTTTAAGAGAGAGAAAAATGGGTGTGTTTTATATGAAAGGATCTTCCAAAGCCACAGTTGGGGTGGGCTTTATGAGCAAAAAGCACTACTTGAGCCAACTTAGCTCAGAAATTACTTCAAAGATATTTAACCCAAGCTCGCCTTTCCATTTTTTTTTTTCTTTCTTCTTCGTATGTTCTTTCCTAATCGCAGCTTTTATACCAAGAGTGCTTAGCTGAGAGGATTTCCTTTTATATCTTTTGATGTGTTGCACGCTTAGGTATAAATGAAAAAATAAAAAACATTTATAGTAAAATTTATCAAATTCCAAGATAAATATTTAATCAATTATTCAGAGTGGCAACTATGTATTTTATTTCTATGACTTTTGTGTTTAATCGGAACTTTATAAATATATCTTCATATATATATATATACTGTAAGAGTTTGACTTATTTTACATAATTTTTGTATTTCATTTTCTTCGTTATAACAACAAATCTGTAAAATATTAAACACACCTGATATATTAATAATGCCTGACGATTTTCAAGTACATTTTTGGCAAAATCAAAAATTAAAAAAAAAAAACTAAAAAAAAAAACCAATGCATACGGGTTATTCTTATGTGAAGTCAATTAGCATATTTTCATAGTCCGTGGTACAGACCAGTTTTTAGAAAATTATTAACATCAGGCTGAAACTTCGTAAATAGCTTCATCTCATCGTAACCTACAAATATTTTATCTACGATAATTCTCGTAATTGGGGTGTTTTCAATCTACAGATTGGCAAACTTTGTTTATTTAATTAGGTACTAATAACTGGTAAATAACCATTTGCATTTCACTTGAATCGTAAGATAACTTGAGGAAAAAGTTAAGAAAAAACGCGGCCTACAAAAATATCGGACCGTTTGGTCTATATAAGGTCGTTATTTTGACAATTTGGGGGTGTAGGTCACGCAAAACGACTCAATATTTTTGAAGGACGGCTTTAATCTTAACTTTTTGCTCAAGTTGTCTTACGATTAAAGTGGAAATCAATTGGGTATTTACCAATTTTTAGTAACTAATTAAATAAACGAAGTTTGCTGACCAGCAGATTGAAAACGCTCTGATCACGAACATTTTCGTAAATAAAATATTTGTAGATTATGATAAGATGAACCTATTTACGAAGTTGCAGCCGGATGTTAATCATTTGATAAAAAGTCGTCTGTACCACGGACTATGAATAGAAGGGACTTTTTTATGCACTGTAATTTTAGGTTAAATAACCTGCTTGAGTTAAATAAATAATTGAGTAGTTTACATATTTTTTCAACTACATCTTGTTTCAAACTCATTGGAGTTAGTAGGATTTATAAATTATACATACTGGGTGATAAAGCAAGTTTAAAATTGCATAAACCAGAGAACAGTTTTGGGAATCCCTTTCTGACAAGATTAGGCTAATGGCCGTTTGTTAAATGTTGTTTAAGCAAACATAAACATTTTTGCTCAATGTTTTAATTAAACGCAGGCATCAGGGTTCATCAATAAAATAAATGTTTACTTCATGTTATGATTATAAGTATTTAAATAAATAAAAAACATTACTATTAGCACCAGATTTTGCACTCCAATAGAATAAGTTGAAGATCTTATTCTTTACCAATATATATGTAGTTTTTTTTTTGTTATTTTTTATTTGCAATCGCTCTACCCTAGAGGGTCATTGGCGGCTAGTTTTCTATACTCTATTGTAATATTTGGTCTCTATTAAGTATCGGAATAGGGTGGTGACTCCATCTTCGTTGTCTCTTAATATTTCTTTCATTGCTATTGGTAATTTAAATTTTTGCCGAATGTTGTTGAACTCGTGGTACTACTAACAGATATTTTACTGACTATGGTTTATTGTTATACGTGGATGTTTCTAGTACTCTGAGAAGTTACTCGTAAGTAAACCGGCAGTGACCAATTCGTATTCTACACAATATGGTTTCTTCTTTTCTGGATATTGTTGTGCAAGTAGCCCACTTGTTGCAGTCTGTTTTTATTTCTAATAATATTTACTGTTCAATTTTCCATCTATTTACCCAATTTTCCAACATATATTTAATTAAAATTACCTCAATTATAATATATTATTATTAATAAAACATTCATAAGCTGACGTTTCAGAGATATTCTCTATCAATAGGGTCATTATTGATTATTGCACATTTACACTGATTTTTTTTCAGAACTTAAATACATTTACAAAATATTTAATCACAAAATAATTAAATGAAATACATTGTTACAATTTTTTGACACAGTCCTAATCTGGTGAAATCGCCTTTAGTCTTGTTAGCCTTTAGGAAGATTGTAACACATGTAATTTTTCACTATATACATATATATATATTTACAACTTTTCTTTAACTGACCTTTGAGTATTAAATTTAAAACAGTAGTTTAATATATGTGCTAGTGGACGGTGCTGAGACTGTCGGTGTGTCCCTGGCCTGATCGAAGCTCTATTTTTTAAAATTCTAGCTTTGAAGATGACCCCATGGTTGACTAATAAAAAGAAAATACCGGGATCGAAACGTCAATAAACAGAAGAAATGAACATTCAATAGTTTATTAAATAATAATTAAGTGACCTTATTCCCAATTAAATAGTTAAGATTAATATATATATATATAAACATATTCAAAACATACTTTCGAAAATATATAATATCAACAACCTAAATTCCTTTTGATTAATGGATTATTAAGCTACTAATAATTTCAGTAAATATTTTGGTTTTTAATAATTCTTTTATAAGCAAAAAACTTTATATAAAGCTCTTACACATTCGTTTCCCTTAAAATATGACATAAACAAACCGTAATTATAAACAACCACTATATTCCAACCAATGATATTTTAAAATTCAGCAGTGAATTATTTATTTTACCTGTACATCCTTGAAGACTTCCGGATCCAAATGTTCCAGATCGTTGTCACTGAGGTCCAAGAACCTGAGCTTGGCCAGCTTGAGGAAGAGTCTTGGTGAGAGTTGATGGATCCTGTTGCCCCTCAGGGATAGAACTCGCAGTTCATGGAGGTGCTGGAACGTTCCTGAACCCATTGATTCGATCCGATTCCAATCAAGGTGAAGTTCAAGCAAGTTGACGAGGCCGCGAAAATTGTTGTCCAGAACCTGTGGATGTTGGAGTAAGTTCATAAATATTAAGATAGCTAAAATAAAGAAAATTATTCATTATTAGTTTATTAGTAACTATTTATTAGTATTAACAAACACAAAACCTTATCTATTCAATCAAAGAAGATTCATCACTAGCGTGACAAACTACTTGGTCTGTCATATGAGATAATAAGGTAAGTGTTGCGGAGCCAGTCAAACATTCCAAATATCTTGCTGACCAAAATGTAAGAAGTGGTTAGACTGACCCGGCTGAGGATCGGGCATAGCTTATCCACGAGTATTTAATAGGAAAATATCTGGTGTGCACAACACAAAACTTTCATTTACCTCTCTATTTCGAATAGAAATTATCTGGCAATGTTGAGCAATTGTAAAATTTTTGAAGTGAGTTTTTAACGGAGCTATAGCTTAAAGCTTACAGCTAACGAATCATTAGGACAACTAAAATAACAAAAACCTATTAATTATATCAAAGGTAGACAATAAAAACCTCAGCACTACATCTGCTTTTGAAAACCACATAACTACAGTCTCTGATCTATATTTACATATATATATATATATATATATATATATATATATATATATATATATATATATATATATATATATATATAATATATATATATATATATATATATATATATATATATATAAGATAAAGACCGGAGACTGGCGATATCAGCCTTAATACCATCTTGTAATGTAAATAAACATAGCAATTGTATATAAGGCAGATTATTGAACGAATAAAGCAGTGTTTATTCAGAAGCCGTGAGTATTGTTTCTCGTTCCTCTTTCCTTCTTTTTTTTTATTTACAAAGCCCGGAGACGCTTAACTGGTGCCGAAACCCGGGAGAACGTCAGGAGAACACGGAAGTAAAATTTTTTTTTCCTTTCTTTATTTTAATTTTTTTTTCTCTTCTCCTAGTCATAAGGAAAAGACGAGATGCCGACAGAGGGCATAATTCGACCAGGAGTGTTGAACGCACCTGAAATGCCGCAACCTCAGGAAATGCCGATAGCGCAGATTCCTCAGATCGCCCCTCAGGTTCCGCAGATTCCGCAGATACCTCAGATACCTCAAGTACCGCAGATACAAGAGATCCCTCCCTTACCTAGGGACACATTGGCAGAGGCGCACGCCAATGCATTGGAGTGGATGAAGATAAGGGCAGCGACCACGCAGGATCTACGGAGAGCAATCGCAGACCTGGAGCGATTCGGGGGCGAGATAGGTGAACTTAATCACTTCCTGAAAGGTGGAGACCGCCTCATATCAAGAATCGAAGCAAAGGTGGCGGAGGACCTCGTGAACCTGGGAGACGCAGAAGCACTGAAGGCAGCTCTCGTGTGCCGAGTGAGGAGGAACATCCTCAACCAAATCCAAGCGGACGAGGAGACACCATGGCCAGTGATTAAGGAGCGTTTGAAGAAGGCTTTCGGAGGGGGCCGATGGACGCCGGAAGAAGATATCTTCCAAATGTTTAGGGAGTGTCGGTCCCAACGCCAAACAAGAGGACAGTATGCGGGGGTACTAGTGGCGAAGTACAACCGCATAACTGAGAAAATGCGTGAAACCATGAGTGTGGGAGAGGTCGAAGCTAGGATGGAATTCCTTTCGACAATACTCAAGGTTCAGTTGGCTAAGGAGACTGGGAGAAGGGACGGACTGCCTAGAGAGCGATCGTTCCTCGAGTGTGCCCAAGAAATGATAGATCTGAGTGCAAGAGAGGAAGAGACGCGGATGGAAGTAGAAGAACCAGGGTGGACCCGAGTGAGTGACAGACGACCCCGGACAGCCCAGATAGGGTGGAGGAAGAGGGAAATGAAACACCCGAACGGAGAAAAAGCCACGACGGGCGAGAGAAGATCCGGACAGTCCAGGCCTAGGAATGGACCCCGGAGGGAAGACAGAAAATGTCACGGGTGCGGGAAACCGGGACATTTGGTAGCACAATGTCCGCGCACTAGATGTTTCGAGTGCGGGACTGAAGGGCATATTGCCAGACAGTGCCCGTACATGTTTCGCAGGAGAGAGAGACCTCTAGACGAGCCAATGGAGGTGAACGCTCAAAAGTTGAAAAGACGAGCTAGGATGCAGCAGAGAGACGGATCTTCGGAAGAGGCAACCGAGGAGTCGGGGACGTCGGGAACGGAGACTGACGAGCCAGCCAGCAGTGGAGGCGAAGGAGGCAGGAGCAGCCAACGGAGCGAGCAACGACGAGCGACGGCGGTAAGGAGGAAGCGAGGTGGCATCTGAGAAGGGTGTCAGCAGAGAGGCGACCGCACAGCAACCTGCAACAATATTAGAGGTAAGCCATGCTGGTTGCCGATTATTGAAGTAGACGGGGGAGTGAAGTGTCTCGTGGACACAGGGAGCTCGAGTACTATCTTGACTCGGGGGGCGTTGGGGAGAGTGTGCGGGAGCGAGAGGGTACTCCGGATACAAAACTGTGGCTGCCAGCTAATCACTCTGGGTGGTCCCTGTAAAGTAGAAGGGGAAGCGTCAATTACGCTTGATCGGTGGGCAGGGAAAAAGGGGGAGCTAAAGGTGCATGTGGTAGAGAGCATGACGCGGGAGTACCAAGTCATAATAGGGTGTGATCTGTTAGGACAGGTAGGGGTAAGCATTAGAAACCGTAGAGGAGCTTGGAGTATCAGGCTGGGAAAGAGGAAATTTGGATGTATAGGGGTCGCGAGAGAAAGAAGGGTGCGGATAGGAGCGGTGAACAGGGTGGAGGACTGGAGAAAGGCGTTACAAGCGGAGTTCGTAGATATTTTCTTCAGGGAGGGCGAGGTATTGGGGGTAACAGGGAAGACGGTACACGAAGTTCCACTGAAGCAAGATAGGGTAACCTACGTAAAGGAAAGGAGATACCCGCAGGCGCTGAGGCAGCATATTCGGGAGGAATTGGAAAGCCTAAAGGAGCAAGGGATCATAGTCGATAGCACCTCGCCATTTAATAGTCCCCTGTGGGCGGTGAAAAAGAAGGCAGCGCCGGGGGATAATAAGGAAAAATACAGAGTGGTAGTGGACTATCGTAAGTTGAACGACAACACGGTAGACGAAAAGTACCCGATCCCTAGATTCGAAGATATACTCGATAGGTTGAGTGGGGCCGTGGTGTTTAGCACGTTGGACCTCAAGGCGGGATACCACCAAATACGGATGCACCCGAAGGACCAACATAAGACGGCGTTTACATTCGAAAGGGGGCATTACGAATTCACCAGAATGCCGTTTGGTCTGAAGAATGCGCCCATAACGTTTCAACGCCTGATGGACGAATTTTTGAGGGGTATCGACGACTCCGTATGTCAAGTATACATGGACGACCTGCTGATTTTTAGCAGAACGGAAGCCGAACACGTGGAGCATTTGAGGTCGGTATTCGAAAGGCTGCGACAATTCGGGCTGAAACTGTCAAGCGAGAAGTCCCTGTTGGGACAAACGCGGATCAATTTTTTAGGCCACACTATTTCTAGCGAGGGGGTCAGACCGGATGCGGCAAAGGTGGAGGCAATCACACGAATGGCGGTGCCACGGGACGTTAAAGGGATTCGTAGGCTTCTCGGGACGCTGAATTATTATAGAAGATTCGTACCTGAGATGGCAGAATACTTGGTACCTATCAATAACTTGCTGAAGAAAGGCGCGAGGATCGTGGTGACACCAGAAATGGAAAATAATATTCGGAAATGCATGGATAGGTTGCAGGCAGAACCCGTATTGGCGTTCCCGGATTTTGAGAAGCAGTTCAACATCACCACCGATGCGAGCGAATACGCGTTGGGGGCCGTTTTGTCCCAGGGCAGAAGTGAGGGTGAACGTCCGATAGCATACGCGAGCCGACGACTTACGAGCGCGGAATCACGGTACAGCGCGTTAGAGAGGGAGCTACTCGCGATAGTGTGGGCCATCGACCATTTCAGGCCATACATATTTGGGAGGAAGTTTCGAGTCCACACCGATCACAAACCCCTTCAGTGGGTAGGAAAACTTAAGGAAACCTCTGCGAGGGTCACGAGATGGAAAGAATTCCTTAGTCAGTACAACATGGAGGTGGTGTATAAGCCGGGAAAGGAAAACGTGGTGGCAGACTGGCTCTCTAGGGCCATCATGATCAACGCGGTAGAAGAGGACGGGGGAGGTCCATCGCGGGACGTGCGCCAATTCTTGAGGGAATGGACTCCTGAGGGTGAAGGGGCAGATGATACCGTCAGTATAGAGGACAGGGAGGGGTCCCCGGAAGAAGATAGCTCAGCGGAGGAAAGACCAGTGGCGATGGAGGAAATAGACGAAATCATCAACGACAAGCATAGACAGGTAATCTGGAAAACCAGGACAACAGGGATCATGAAAATAGATTACCGAAGATACGGGAAAAGTAGGATTCGCGTCATTTGGTCGCAACCCGGGGTGAGCGAGGAGCAAATCCGTACGGCACTGAAGGACGCCACGGAACCGGGAAAGACACACCATCTCTATGTTGGGAACAACACGGTATGGGAGAAAATAAAGCGGATGTGGAGATCCGAGCGAATAGGCATGGATAGAACGATCATCCGGTGCAAGTATGCAGTGGAAACCGTACAGGATGAGGAGCAACAACAAGCATTCACATTGGCATACCACCAGGGGAAGACCAACCACCGAGGCGTCAACGAGACGTTGCAGGCATTACGGCGAAAGTATTTCTGGTGGGGAATGAAAAAATCTATCCAAGGAATCATCGGGAAATGCGAGGTATGTATGCGCACAAAGTATGATCGACACCCCCCAGAGGAGTTCAGGAAGAGACACCTACAGGGAATATGCCGCTACAAGACCTCCAGATCGATACATTCACCTGGAAAGGGTTCAAGTGGGTCACGATCATCGACACCTTTAGTAAAGTAGCTATGGCACATCAGGTCATGGACAAGTCTGCCAATGCAGTTGCGGAAGCCCTACAAATCTGGATACAGTTTTACGGAGTTCCCGAGAGGATCACATCAGACGGTGGCAGAGAGTTCGACAATACCGCGATTAGGGAGGAGGTGAAAAGGTTAGAGGTTGTGTGGCATTATAACACACCGGGACACCCTAAGAGTAGAGGAGGAATCGAACGTTTGCACAGCACGTTGAGTGACCACATCCGTGTATATCAGGGAGAGAAAGGGTTGGAGCCGGATGTTGCGATGAAGAAAGCCGTAACAGCTTATAACCATTCGATCCACTCCGTAACGGGGTTTTCACCTGTGGAAATACTATTCGGGAT